AAGCTTTCTTTGCATTGGTAACTAATGGTGTACAAGTCGCCCCTTTGTGGAAAAGTAATGAGCAAAGTTTTGTGGGTAAGCTGACCATTACGGATTTCATCAATACTCTGCATTGCTACTATAGAAACTTGGAGAGAGGTTTACCTACAGGACTCCTTTAAACCACTTGTCCACATTTCTCCCAATGACAGCTTGTTTGATGCTGTCTCTTCATTAATTCAAAACAAGATGCACAGGCTGCCAGTTATTGATCCAGAATCAGGCAACACATTGTATATCCTCACCCACAGCGTATACTCAAATTCCTCAAATTATTCATCGCTGAGTTCCCCAAGCCAGAGTTCATGTCTAAATCTCTCGAAGAGCTGCAGACTGGCACCTATGCCAACACTGCTACCCCTGTCTTTGTTGCTCTGGGTATCTTTGTACAGCACCGAGTTTCTGCTCTGCCAGTGGTGGATGAGAAAGGGTATGTGGTGGACATCTGCTCCAAGTATGATGTTGTTAATCTGGCAGCAGAAAAGACCTACAACAACATTGATGTGTCTGTGACCAAAGACCTGCAACACCAATCACACTATTTTGAGGGTGTCCTCAACTGCTAACTGCATGAGACTCGGAAGACTATCATCAATAGACTGACAGAAGCAGAGGTTCATCGACTTATGGTGGTGAGTGAGAATGATGTGGTCAAGGGAATTGTTTCTCTCTCCAACATCCTGCAGGCCCTGGTGCTTACAGGTGGGGAGAAAAAGCCCTGAGCTGAGGGAAGGACTCAGACAACACTGGGAAATCTGTTCCACTCACTGTCTGCCAACAGCTCTGGGAATCACACATGACACTGTGGGAGAACTGTGATTTTGTGCTCAGCTCAGGAACAACCCCCACCCCCACCCCACCCTCTTACCTGGAGGTCAGGGGCGTTGGAGAAGAAAGGAAGAAAGATTGTTAGCTGTCTTTACCCTTACATGTATGCTTAAGAAAACTTTAGTCCAGCCCACCTCAGCCACCATCCTCTTAAGACATCACCCCCTTTTCTGGGTCAACTGTGGGCTCTCTCAGGCGGATTCTGATCTCTAAGAGATCCCTAGACCTCATCCTGCCTTTAGCTATATTCCTACCCCTTATTTCATCTTAAGATAATAGCACAACACGAGTATTTTTATTAGTCCTATTTCATGCTGTGTGGGGGAGGCTGAGGCCAGTTAGTGACATTCCCCCCCCCACGCCTGGCCACTCACCTCTCCCCCCCCCCCCCCCCGCCCCCCCCCACGATGGGAGTTAAGAGGATTGTGGCATGGAGGCCTTTGGGTTCCTGTACTGCTTTTGTATGAAAACTGATAGAGGGTGAAATGGTTAGATGATTTTACTGTTTTTCATGGCAAACCTAATTAAAATTACAGGTAAAAAAAAAGTGCTAACAATAATCCAAGGTATCTTGTGAAAGAAGATCTACAGCAAGATACAATTGAAAGTCCACCAAAATGACTAAAACAAATGAACAAAAAAAATTGGTTATTATAAAAAGGATATAATCAGCAAACTGAGAGTAAGGGTCAGCTGTCTTTTATCTATAAATATAGCTTTACTGAAGCACAGTCACATTCATTTATGGTTACTTTATGCTATTATAATAATTGACTAGTAGTAACAAACATGACCTGCAATCCTAAAATATTTAGCACTAAGACCTGAGGTTGTTTACAACTTGCTCAGCTCCACAATCAACACTCTTGGCACCAACAGTCAGGAAATCAAAAGATGAATTGAACTAGGAAAATCTGTGGTCAGGAACCTTTACAGAGTACTGAAAAGCAAGGATGTGAGTCTAGAGACAACAGTGCACCTGATTCAAGCCATGGTCTTTGCAATTACTTGATATTCATCAGACAGCTGAACAATGACTAAGAATCGAAAGAAGAATCAATGCGTTTGAGTTGTGGTGCTGAAGAGTACTGTACATACCATGGACCACCAAGAGAACAAACAGCTCTGTCATGGAGAGGGTCAAGTTACTCCTTTCAGCCTATGATTTTGAAGCTCCATCTCACATACTCTGGACTCATGGCCAAGAGGAACCAACCCTTGGAGAAGTATGTCATGCTCAGAAGGGTAGAGGAACAGCATAGGTGAGGAAGACCCCAGATGAAATGGATTGACACAGGAGCTGTGGTAACGTAGGTAGATGTGTCAGAGTCTGTAAGACTGGCTGAGGACAGGGCAGGGTTCACAGCTATTGTACATAGGGTCACTATAAGTCACAGGTGACTTGAAGGCACATAACAACAAGACTTCTAAGAAAGTTTGAAGGGAGCTCTCGTGGCCTAGTGGCAAGAAGCTACACTGCAAATCCCAAAGGTGCACTGTTTGAATCCACCAGATACTCCGCTGAAGAGGGAGGGGCAATCTCCTCTTGTGCCAGTCAGATCTGATTCGATGGTACACAACAAGGGGAAAAAAGAAAAAGAAAAAAAAATTTGCTAATGTATCAGACACTGCTGATACAAACATGTACTGCAGTAGATTATTCAAGATGGCTTTTATAGTCAGTGGTTTTGTTATATCCACCGCATGGCTGGGTAACTTCATGACTGTCGTCAAATTAGTTCTGACTCATAGTGATACCTCATCTAAAAGTTGGGCAATGAGTGCTCACTTCAGCAGTACATATACTAAAACTGGAATGATAGAAGATTAGCATGGCCCCTGCACAAGGATGACATGAATTTGTGAAGTGTTCTATAGTTTTATAAGACCATTATTATAGAAGTAGATGACTAATAAAACATGTATGACGATCCAAGAGGAGGAGAGGGGAGCAGAGACGTGGGGCTAGGGGTGTTATCATGGGCTTGCACAGCTTGATGGGTGGAGGAGGGTGGGTTGGGGAAATGAGGGAGGAACCGGTATGAGAGGCAATGTGTAAGAACTCTGTGGGTAAATGAGTTTAAAATTATTTTTTTTTAAAAAGCATTACATTAAAAAAAACCAAACAAAAAAACCCCAAATGGGAAGTCACAAGCTGAACTGTCTTGATGGCAGCAGGTAATTAATTTCAAGTTGTTTAGTGATGGGAATGTAGTGGGTACTGAATACATACTTAGAAAATTAACATGTGCTAATTATGAATATATAATCCAGAAAGATGAATAAATGAAATGTTACAAAATAAAGAAAAAAAAGAGTTGGACAATGAATAAGGATGACAGAATAAATGATGCCTTTAAGTTGTGGCTTATTTACAGAGTGGGATTTCACACTAAAAAAGGTTTGTAACACTGGCTCAAGTGGGGAAGAGAGCAAGGCTTAGAAGAGAGGCTTGCTTGCAAATACGCTTGAGAAAAGGCTATCTTGATTTGAAAAAAACCCTGTGTTTTGAGTGTTTCCAATCTGAATTTTAAGATGTTACATTCCTAATAAATCCCATAACTGTGAGTACTATTTATGAGTTCTATCTGAGCACTGCAACGAATTATCAAACCTAGTAGCTCCCTATGAGATAGATTATTGATACTGGAATAGCTGAAGATGTGGAACATGGACAGGACATGTCTACCCTCACTGGAATCAGCTTTGTGCTGCTGCAGAAGATTCTGTTTCCTTGTGAGTTAGTGGAGGCCAGGTGCTGCCACCCTCACACATGCAGTACTTCAAACTTTCACAAACTGCTTTTGAAAGACAGTCAACAGTATGTACTAGGGCTGAACACAGAAATAACGTGCAACCCAGCAATTCTACATCTAGATATATACTTGACAGAAATGCATACTGTGTCCATGTAAATACATGTAAGGAAACATTTACAGCAGCATTATTTTAAAGAATTAATATCACTTAAAAATAGGAGAGGATAAAACAGATGAATGGGACCTTCTAAGAATGAAATCCCTATGCACATCAGAAAACTTCTCCAACAGGGTAAAAAAAGAAAGCCACAGACTGGGAAAAAATATTTGGTAATGACATGTCTGACAAGGGACTTATATCTAGAATTTATAGAACACTCGAGCACCACAACAAGATAAAAGGTAAACAACCCAGTTGCAAAATGGGCACAGAATATGAAAAGACATGTCACCAAGGAAAACATTCAGATGGTGCATTCAGTTGGTGAACAAATGCATGAAGAAATGTTTAAAAGCTGTATCTCTAAGAGAGAAGCAAATCAAAACAACTATGAGCTATCATCTCACCCCAATAAGAATAGCAAAATTCAAAAGAGCTGCAAACAAATGTTAGCAAGGTTGTAGAGAAACTGGAACCCTTATTCACTGTTGGTGGAAGTGTAAAATGGTGCACGCACTATGGAAGGCAGCATGGCACTTTCTCAAAAAGTTGGAAATAGAAAGAACATTTGACCCAGCAATTCCACTACTGGGAATATACCCTAAAGAAACCAGAACTGTGTATCTAAAAAAAAAAAGAAACCAGAACTGCCATCCAAGCAGATATATACACACCCATGTTTACTGCTGCGTTATTGACAACAGCAAAGAAATGGAAACAACCTATCAACAAATGAATGGACAGAGAAGCTCTGGTATATACAGGTATATACACACAATAGAATACTATGTAGCACAGAAAAATAAGGAACTCATGAAATAGTGTACAGAATGGGTTACCCTGGAGGACATTATGCTGAGTGAAATATCTCAGTCACAAAAGGACAAATACTGCATAATGCCACTATTGTAAAGTGGGACTGACATTGGAGTTGGGAGAAAACTAAGAGGGGATAAATAATGTACACTGCATTGAAACAGATGAGGGAGAGAACTGTTTAGGAGGAATAATATGTAGCTACCAACACCATCATAGTGGAAAAATAGTAAGAATGGGTTTTGCTGAGCTGTTTAGAAGAACTAAGATTCCCAATGGCATTACTACTCTATAGGGAAGAAAAAGGAAAAAAAGCTTTCCAAAAAGAGTGCCTAGTGATCATAACTAGATTTCCCTCTGGCTCCTCTCCAACAAGGTGGACAAGACTAGATTCTTACCCAGGATGCCGGAATTAACAAAATGTACCAAGCTGAAATACTCAAGCAGATCATTCTGGATTGGTGTCCCAGAGATAAGCACTCGGCGACTGGTGTTCAAGCTGTCCAGGGCCTGGTAAGTCTGATTCTCAGAGTTTTTGAGCCTGTGTCCCTGCAAGAAAATAAATTCTTACTTACACTTGGACATAATGTGGCATCCTTAGATGTTAACCAAGATCTTTGTAGACAGGAAAATAAGCATTATACACATGATAGATCCTGAGGCCTTGCAAACTGAACAGGGAGTAGTAAGACAGAGCTGCTTAGGAAGAAGTACTAGGTTTGAGAGAGACCTGATGTTTCCAGGCTTTGTGGAAAAATTCCACATTTTCCTTTCCTTTTCCTAATCCCAATCTCTAGAACCTTGACAACCTCTCTATCCTTCTTAGAGATTATGAGGCAATGTTATAGATCCTTGTCTTCAGAAAATCCTCCCTCCCAACGATCTTCTCAACTCAATCATCTCCAGAACTAGATGACTTCTATATTATCCTCCAAGTCACTGGGCTCCCAGCACAAAAGGGACTAGGCCAAAACTCCTCTTTTTTCCTACCACAACCCACACTGCATACAGCTCTAAATTCTTTAATCTCAATTCACTCTGCCTAAAACCCAAACACAATCTTGGTATCTCTCTCCAGCTTTTATCAAGAAAATTCAAAATGGCCTTCCTTACGACCTTCTCTTATTCCTCAAGCCTACATGAGGTATTTTCCTACACCAAACCCCTAAACAACCTCACACTGGGCTGTTGTTATCAGGTGTTGTCCAACCAGTTCCAACTCATGGTGAACCTAGATACAACAGATGGTGCTGGATCTACTCCATCCTCACAATTATTATTGTGTTCGAACCCATTGTTGCACCCACCATATCAATTCACCTTTTTCAGTCTTTCTCCTTTTTGTAAACCTTGTATTTTACTAAGCAGTATGTCCTTCTCCAGGATTAATCCCTCCTAATAGCCCAAACTATGTGAGAGAATGTCTCACTTCTAAGCAGCCTTATGATTGTACTTCTTCCCATCAGAGGTGTTATTCTGGCAGCCCATAGCATATTCTTGGCCTGCATCTTAATTCTTCTTCCAGTTCTCCTTATCCATTGTTGAGTTTTTGCATGAATATGAGGTGAATGAAAATATCAACACTTGGGTCAGGGGCATCTTGGTTCTCAAAATGACAGCTTTTTAATACTTCAAGCAATCTTTTATAGCATATTTGGTCAATGCAAATCTTTTTATTTCTTGACTGCTACTTAGAAAGGTGTTGATTATAGATTCATGTAAAATAAAATTCTTGACAACATCAATCTTTTTTCCATTTTCATGACACTTTATTGGTTCTGTTGTGACAAGTATCTTTTTTACATTGCATTGTAATCTATACTGAAGGCTGTCGTCTTTGATCATCAGTAAGTCCTCTTCACTTTCGGCAAGGAAGACTGTATCATATGTATATCACAGATTGTTTGGGTTTATCTTGATGTTGTTGTTGTTGTTGCTGTGTACCGTCAAATTGGATTCGACTGGCACAGGAGGAGCCTGCCCCTCCTTCTCCAGCTGTGTGCCTTAGAGATTGTCACAGATTATTAATAAGTCTTCCTATGAAGGGCGTATGCCAGGGATGCATCCTTTCTCCATACCTTTTCAACCTATATGCAGAACAGATTATCCGGGAGGCTGGGCTCTATGAGGAGAAATGTGGGGTCAAGATTGGTGGAAGATCTATCAACAATCTGCGTTATGCAGATGACACAACCCTGCTTGCTGAAACTGAAGAGGACCTGAAGCGCCTGCTGCAGAGTGTCAAGGACTGCAGCCTACAATATGGATTGAGGCTCAATGTCAAGAAGACAAAGATTCTCACCACTGGATCAATTGGCAGCATCAGGATGGATGATGAAGAGATTGAGATTGTACACAGCTTTAGTTTGCTTGGCTCCATAGTCAACAGTCTTGGCACCAGCAGCCAGGAAATTAAAAGGCGCATTGCCATGGGAAAGTCTGCTGTTAGGGACCTCTCCAAAGTGCTGAAGAGCAATGGTGTCTCTTTGGAGACTAAGGTGCGTCTGATACAGGCCATGGTCTTCGCAATCACCTGTTATGCATCAGAGAGTTGGACAATGACCAAGGAGGATAGAAGGAGAATTGATGCCTTTGAGCTGTGGTGCTGGAGAAGAGTACTGAGAATACCATGGACTGCTAGGAAAACAAACAGATTTGTCCTGGAAAGGGTTAAACCGGGTGGCTCCTTGGAGGCAAGGATTCTGAGGCTCTGTCTAACATACTTTGGACATGTTGTGAGGAGAGACCGGTCCTTAGAGAGGGACATCATGCTTGGGAGGGTGGAGGGACGGCGCAGGAGAGGAAGGCCCTCTATGAGGTGGATTGATTCAGTGACTGGGATAATTGGGATGGGAGTGTCAGAGACTGCGATTGGCACAGGACAGAGTGGAGTTTAGGGCTGTTGTACACAGGGTCGCTATGAGTCGCAGGGGACTCGACAGCACATAACAACAACAACAACATAATTATTATGCTGAGCTCCTCAGATTATTGCTAAGCATATATAGACTGGATAAGTATGATGAAAGAATATTCCCCTGTTACACATCACTCCTGATTTTAAACCATGCAGTATCTCCCTTATTCTGTTCTGATGACTGTCTTTTGGTCTACACACAGATTCCCTGAGTGCAAATATATGTTCTGGAACTCCATTCTTTGTAATTATATCCATAATTTTCTTTGATCCTAATACATCTGAATGACTTTGTATAGTCAGTAAAACACAGGTAAACACTTTTCTAGTATTCTCTGCTTTCAGTAATATCCATCTGACATCAGCAAATGACATCTCTTGTTCTATTGACTCTTCTGAATTCAGCTTGAATTTCTGGCAGTTCCTTGTGGATCGACTGTTCTAGCTAGTTTCTTTTTTTCATAGACTCCAGCAAAATTTTACTTGTATGTGACATTAATGACATTGCTCAATAATTTCTACATTTTACTGAATCATCTTTTTTTTTGAGTAGGCATAAATAAAGATCTCTCCCAGTCTTGATAATTGTCTTGAAATTTCTTAGCACAGATAAGTGAGCACTTCAAAAATTTGCACATTTTTGTTGAAACATCTCAACCAGTTTATCAATTCCTGAAGCATTTTTACAAATGCCTTCAGTGATGCTTAGAATTCTTCCTTCATTCCTATTGGTTCTGGATCACACAATAATACATAAAATGGCTGAACATAATGGGATCAGTTTACACACACACACACACACACACACACACACACACACACACACAATGCCTATATTTCTTGCCCCTTCTTTTGGTATTTCTTGCATCATTCAATATTCTGTGCATCCTTAAATATTGCCACTCAAATCTTTAATTTCTTCTTCAGTTCTTTCAGCTTGAGAAATGCTGAGCATGGTCTTGCTTTTTTGTTTTCTAACCAAATATAGGGAGCGCTGGTGGCTTATTGGTAAGGAATCAAAGTGTCTACACAACGGTTTAGCTTCAAATTCACCAGCTGCTCTATGGGGAAAAAACAAGCCATCTCCTGCTACGAGATTTACTACCTATGAAAAACCACTGAAGGGTCAGCTATGGGTTGGTTCTGACTCGAGGGTAAACAACAACCACTACCATCAAATGTCCAGAACTTCGCACATTTTCATATTACCTTTTTGAGCTTCCCTTTAGAGCTCTATTTAACTCAAGCACTAGTGAATGAATGAATAAATGAACCAGCCTTGCTCCCTCTGGTCAGCCATTTATGATGCAATTAAATGCAGAATTTATACTGATTTTTCTGTGTACAGGACTAAGTCCAAGCTCTACTACCTCTCCAACACTCATCACAGCTTGTCACATTGATGCTTTAGGGAGCTTTACCTTCTCCTTTCCCCCAAAGCAAGAATTCCTTATATCTCTTTGCCTATTACTCCTCTTTCCCAGAATGCTCTTCCACAAATTCCTCCCATATCATTTCCTATAAAAATCTTCCCTCAATGATCAAGTTGTTGGTCTCTTACACTTCTATGAAAAGCTTGTACATAAAAATAGCTGTGACTACTTATTGAACCATTTTAATGTGTGAGGCACTAAGTATGACAGTATTAGGTATTTTACTCTTTAAGTAGTCTCTTATAATCCAGACAGGGAACTTGAGTGGCCTAGTGGTAAGAAGCTACGCTATAATCACAAAGGTATACAGTTCAAATCTATTAGTTGCTCCATGGGAAAAAGATGGACAGTTCTCCCCCATGCAATTTACTGCCTCTGAAAACCCACTGGAGGGTCAGCTATAGGTCAGTCCTAACTCAACAGCAAATAATCAATCAACCAATCATAATCCAGACCCAGACAACAATTAAAGGAGTGGAAATTACAATGCCTGTTTTACATACAAAGAAACTGAGGATCAGAATGGTGAACAAGATTGCCTATTTAAATTCATGTTTATAAGTGGCAGAGCTTAGGCTTATACCAAGTCATCTGATATTCCCTGCCTACCTCACATTGCTATAGGGATTAAGGGGGTTTTTTGTTTGGTGCATTTTTCTTTCTTTTTGTGTGTGTGGTTTTTTGGTTTGGTTTTTTTTTGGCTATTTTTTAGGATTAAGGGTTTTTATACTTAAGTTATTATAAAGAACAATGTGTTCCAGAGACAAGGGTCAGCTGGGAGGAAACTACTGTGGATGTTGGGAACACATAAGCTGGAGTGGCACCTTCCTTTTCCAAGATCTAAAAAGAACAAATATTCTTCACTGAGTGTATGCCATCTTTCAGGCCTTTGGCTTCTCCAAGTCTCTGACAACTGATAAAGAACTGGCAAATAAATGAAGAGGTCAGTGAGTAGGAAGGAGGGTCAGAACTACAGTCTGACAGGAGGTAGTCTGGTTCTTTGTGACCTGAACAGTCACCTTATGAAATAGGGCAGGGTGAGAAACAGAAGAAAATCTAGGCACTAAGTCTTTAAAAGCTCAACAGCTACAGCTTGCCTTCTTCTTGCACAATTCCCTGGACTCTGGATCTGACTCTCTCCATGGAGATGAAACAGATGCTAGGAACCTGAGCTGCACATGTATCTCACCTCAGCCTGTTCAATCTCTACTCTTTCCTAGAAGAATGAGTAACTGATTATCAGTAGTACACAGACACACTACACAAAGACAAATGCTCAACTGGAAAACTGATCACAAATAACAAACATGGAATCCAAAAGTAAGCTTTTCTCCTCGTTCCCTCCTAGATGATACTGGGCTCAGAGAATAGTCAAACTGGCTAATCAGTTTAAAGTTGAGCCCAAGTATTTCAGGCACTTGCCTACCAGAGCCTCAAGGGTACACAAAGTAACCTTAACTCCTTTTTCCAAGGAAATGCAAACAATGGCAGCTACCTCAAGTTCTAGACTGTTCTCTAAACTAGGAAGTTCCCAGCTATTCTAAGGACTTTTTCTAAGGATTCCTTTCTACTACATTTATGCATAATAAATAGAGGAAAAGGACAGGATGTGACTACTGCCATGTTTCCATTAGGTTCCCAAGAGAGGGATCAGGAAGTCAACACTACTGTCCACACCAGGTTTTCCTGTCTCTGTGCTTTTATTCATATAGAAACATATTACTCTAGCCTAATCAAAACCAGAGCAGACATTTATCATACTCCCTTCACATGATAAGAGCTTTCTCTCAAACACTTCATTTAATCCTCACAATAATATTTTAGGAGATAAGATTGTTGTTGCTATGGTTATGTGTTGTCAAGTCTGTGACTCACAGTGACCCTATCTACAACAGCTCTGAAGCCTGCTCTATTCGGAGCCAGTCTCACAGACTCCAAAACACCTACCCACATTGCCCCAGTTACTGTATCATCCATCTCATGCAGGGTCTTTCTCTCCTGTGCTGTCCCTCCACTCTTCCAAACATGATGTCCTTCTTCATGTGCCCAAAGTGTGGGAGACAGATTCAAAATCTTACCCTCTAAGGAGAAATTTGGTTTCACCCTCTCCAAGACAGACCTGTTTGTTCTCTTGGAGGTCCATGGTATGTTCAAGATTCTTATCCGCACCACAACTCAAAGGCATTGATTCTTCTGTCATCCTAAGTTTCTGTCCAGCTCTTTGATGCATAGCAAATAATTGCAAAGACCATGGCCTGGATCGACTGACATTATAGCTTCTCAGTACTCTGGAGAGGTCCCTGACAGCAGATTTTCCCAGTGCAATTTGTCTTTTGATTTCCTGGCTGCTGGTGCCAAGAGTGTTGACTGTGGAGCCAAGCAAGGTGAAGCTGTTAACCTTAATCTTGTCTTCATCTATCATGGTGCTGCCAGCTAGCCCAGTGGTGAGAATCTTTGTCTTCTTGATGTTGAACTTCAATCCATATTGAAGGCTACAGTCCTTGACCTTCTGAAGCAAGCACTTCAGGTTCTTCTTGGTTTCAGCAAGCAGGGCTGTGCCATCTGCATAATGTAGGCTGTTGATGGGTCTTCCTCCAATCCTGATGGCACATTCTTTCCCAGAAAGCCCAGTCTTCTGAATGATCTGTTCTGCATACAGATTGAAAAGGTATGGAGACAGGATGCATCCCTGACACACTCCTTTCCTGATTTTGAAGTGTGCACTATTTCTTTACTCTGTTCTGAGGACTGCTTCCTGATCTGAATATAGGATTTCCATGAGTACAATCAAGTGTTCTGGAATTCTCCTCAAGGTTAGCACAATGTATTGTGATCCACACAGTCAAATGCCTTTGTATAGTCAATGAAACAGAGAGACATTCCTCTGGTACTCTTTGCTTTCTGCCAAGATCCATCTGATATTGGCAATAATGCCTCTAGCACCACGACCTCTTCTAAGCCCAGTTTGTACTTTTGGCAGCTCTCTGTCAATGTACTGTTCCAGACCAAAATGGTTGTCAAAAGAGACTCTGAATATTGCACTGGAGTGCCGAGAAGTCAAAGCAAAGGGAAGAAATCAAGAAGTTAAGGAGATGAATAGAAGATTTCAAAGGACAGCTCGGGAAGACAAAGCAAAGTATTATAATGAAATGTGCAAGAAGCTGGACTCAGAACTCACTCGGCATTTCTTAAGCTGAAGAAACTAAAGAACCAATTCAAGAATGTATTGCTATGGGCAGAACCAGGAAGAATTAAAATATGGAAGGAATATACAAAGTCACTGTATCAAAAGAAGTGGTTAATAGAGAAGAATTTCATGAAACAACCTATGCTAACGAGGCAATGGTAATGAAGGAAGAAGTACAGGCTGCTCTGAAGGACTTGGTAAAAAATAAGGCTCCAGCAATTGATGGACTTCTAATTGACATATTTCAACAGATACTGCCCTGGACGTGCTCACCAGGTTGTGCCAAGAAATCTGGAGGACAACTACCTCGCCAACTGACTGGAAGCGATCCATATTTATTACCATTCCAAAGAAAGGTGACCTGACAGAGTGTGGAAATTATCAAACAGTATCACTAATGTCACACACTAGCAAAATCCTGAAGATTATCCAAAACCAACTGGAACAGTACATCAAGAGAAGACACAGATTATTACCCCATATTATTGGTACAGAAACAGAGGCTCAGATTATTATTTGTCCAAATCTCAGTAAAAATGGCAAATGGCAGAGCTCAAATTTGAATAGAGGTCTCTCTAACCACAGGAAAGAACCTGCTCTCCTAACCACTATGTAATGAATGTCCCTCCAGGTACACAAATCCCTCCCATCTTTCCAGAAGTCCTTCTTTTATCTAGGAATATTGTCTGGAAGTAACAACCAATCAACCCACAGGACCTCCTCCTCAGACCTGAGCAGCGTTTGCCCTTTCTCATGATAGATTGGTATCAAGGGTTCTCCCTCTCACGTAGCTTCTCTAAGGAATCATCCCCAGTCCTAACCATTTCCTAATGGATAGTACAGCCTTTGAATGACAGTGTTCTATAAGGAGAGTTTGAAGGGGTTTTTCCCTCCCACTCACACTGCTGAGAGTTAAAGTACCTCATCGCAGATGACCAATCCAACACTCCCTTTCTGGAGGACTTCAACATGAAGGCGGAATGTCTCATAGGAAATGATGAGGATAGGAGAAGGCACTCTGGCTCCACGCTGGTTCATGAATCTTTCTACAACAAGAAGGGTAACAAGGGAACAAAGTGCATACTCTCAAGGAATTAATCAAAACTCAGTGCCTAATTATTAATATTATCTTAAAGAGGAAAACAGTTTTTGACAGTACTTTAATCTGGAAATAGTCAACTATTTCAACTACCTATAATGGAAATTCTCTTCTATTTCACACTGTCCTCAGCTCTGTCATATAAGAGCATACATGTAAGAAAGCAAGCAATAGACTTGTTATGAGAGTTTAGCCATCTTCGGTAAGGCCACATACCCAGCTTTTGGTCTATCTCGTCCTTAGAGCCTCCATCAATGGCCAGAGGTTGGATCCTCCCTCCAAGCCATTTCCCAACCTCATTATACCAATTCTTCACCAGACTGGAGGGTGATACCACAACTGCTTTGTCAATTTCTGGCTTGCATTCTGGACTCTGATGTAAAAGTGTCCACATCAATGTGATGCACTGCAATGTCTTGCCCAGGCCCATCTCGTCAGCCATAATACAGCCGTGGCTGCCAGGGATACGCCGACTGGTGACACATTCCCACAGGAACTTCACTCCCTGGGGAGTAATAGCACATAGCCCATCTTGTCACTCACATTGCATTAACCCAGGGATAGCAGCCTCCCCAGTCCACTACCAGACCATATCTCATTTCTCCATCCCCACTTACCTCTCTCTGATGAGGCCGCAAGACCTTACTGAGAATAGGATCAACGACCACATGGACGGGAAGTTTTTCTCTGAAAGATTATAGCAAAGAAAACAAAGCTCAGACATGGACAAAAGCACACCCTTGGGAAGTTATTCTGATGCAGAAGCAACAGTGGTAGCAACCTGATGGAGAGGACCTCCTTAGCTTGATAGACAAACCAAAGAAAATTCCTACTCCAAAAGTTAGAAGTTTAGGCAGAAGAGGTTTCCAAGGTGATCAGCTCAGCCCATCCTGCTCCCTTTGGTGAATCTGGCAGGAAGGGAGTAACAGCAGTGGTGAGAAACCCCACTAACTGGATATGACTCCATCGTGTTCCTCAGGCATCCTTTCCTCAACTCCTATTCTAATAGGCCTGACAACACTGAAAACATGCTAATCCCAAGAAGAAATCACACCAAAACTAAAAAAAATACATTACTGTCAAGTTGGAAGTGACTCATAGCTGACCCTCCATTGGGTTTCCAAGTCTAAAAATCACATGAAAAGAGACTGTTCATCTTTCTCCTGAGGAGCTGCGGATTCCAACCACCAGAGAGACTCTGTCTTTGGATTAGCAGGGTAACTCCCTAGAGATTAGGCCCCTAGAACTCCCTAAAGGATCAAAACTGCTCAAGAAATAACCAATGTACATACTTGTCCAGCTTCAGCAGGTCATGGGCACTCAGTGGAGGCGGTTCATACAGAACTAAGGCACCTTCTTCCAATGGGTCATGGAGGGCACGGCGGACTCCAGCCCTTTTGAGACCTAATGCTCGAAAGCCCAGAGGACCTAAAACCAGTAATTTATCAGAAATAAACACGTCAATCCTGAGAAGGTCTGAAATCTTAAAAGGACCTTTCAAGCACTGAGAGACATTGAGAGCTTGCCTCCTTCCCCTCAGGCCCAGTTTTAGTAAAATTATATGCTCTTCATAGGATAGAGAAAAATCTCTGTAGAATCCAAGACTCCCCTCCAGTCTGTCTCATAAAAGAGATGCTACTGAATTCATTTAGACTGAATGAAATGTAAGCCTACCAGTTACCTTGACCTTCAAGGAGCTCTTCATATGATACCTTGAAAGTTCTTGTGAAGACTATAAAATATAACCTTATGCAGGTCTCTGAAAGTCAGTCACTGCTGAACAGTGATCTTCAAACTTTCTCCCCCAAAGGTTATTATTATTATTTTTTTA